TACAGACGTGGGTGCATATGCTAATTTTAAAACATTCTTCCCTGGAGCTCATATTATCGGATGAACAAGTATTTATTATATTATGAGAAAAATATTATAAAATTGTGTTGATGTCTAATTGACTGTTTTATTCACAGAGTGTTAAAATTCAGGCCACTTTTAGAGATGGTGAGATCGATGTCGCAGCGTCTCGCATAGATGTTGGTATTTGGATTATTATCAGTCGTTTTTCTGTTATCGAGTGTGAGGATAGTTGTAGACTGATTTCTCATAGATACAAAATATTATTCCTACCATCAACTATCATTGACAAGACTTCACGTGGAGTGAAAACGCTTATTTTGACTTCGTTGATTTTCAAAAGATATTGGATCGTACCCATGATGATGATTATTTAGTTGGTGTGTTTATTTTCGTTTTAGATGTTGAATTTTGTTATTATTATGTTGTTGATGTTAATATGGTTTAGTTTTTATTGTTTATGAAGATTTGATAGGTCGGGTTTTAAATGTAAGTCGATCTGGGACGTGATGTAGTTTACTCTCTGGAGAGCATCCTGTTCCTTCCTATGGCAGTCCATGTAATGATGTATATGATTCCGAAAAATGGGGTGCATATTCAACTGTAACATTCTGTCTGAGGGATAAACGGTACTGTCTGCTGAGTGTTGTTAAACTGTATATTATTGTTTATTTGTTCTGTCTAGCTGATTATGTGTGACATGTTTTAATTTAATGGTGTTAATTTGAGTTGTGAATTATCCGGTGAGATTGCTAAAAGCTTTTATGCATCTTGGAGACGCTGTGATCAGGATGGAACGACTTCATCATCAATTCGATTTAAGATAATAGATGACGAGTAAGTATATCTCAAACTATATGTTTGAAGTCTAACTAACTAATTCTTAACTACATTGTTTGTCAAAATATAGGAAATTTATGCTTGAGTGTGTTGCACACGGTGAGTTGGCAACTGAAATAAGAGATAAGTGTAGAGAATATGAAGGTCCCTTTGCTATATGTGTGTTAACCGATTGGTGTGTAGCAATTGACGGGGGTATGTTTTCTGATGATATATCTATATGTTATTTATAAAATCGTAGTATATAATGTACAATATTCTAATATATATATTTTAGAGAATGTGTCTATCAAGGATAAATTTAAACCGTTATGCATCTTGGAGACGCTGTGAGATGATGGAACGACTTTATCATCAATTCGATTTAAGATAATAGATGACGAGTAAGTATATTTCAAACTATATGTTTGAAGTCTAACTAACTAATTCTTAACTACATTGTTTGTCAAAATATAGGAAATTTATGCTTGAGTGTGTTGCACACGGTGAGTTGGCAACTGAAATAAGAGATAAGTGTAGAGAATACGAAGGTCCTTTTGCTATGTGTGTTAACCGATTGGTGTGTAGCAATTGACGGAGGTATGTTTGTTTTCTGATGATATATCAATATGTTATTTATAAAATCGTAGTATATAATGTAACAATATTCTAATATATATATTTTAGAGAATGTGTCTATCAAAGATCATGATGATGATGGTGTGTCCCGTTTTATCACTGATTCACCGATTGCTAAAATTTTAACCTTGCACAATAGGTAAGTATGTTTCTCTGTGTTGTCTAAATTGATTTATGAAGAAGAAAAAACAATATTTATATCTGTTTAAATTGCGTAACAGTAATTTGCCAACCTTATGTATATCTGTTTTTTGTTATTAAAATTTCAAGATTAGGGAGAGATTAGATGGACTGGATACAGATGGTGTCTAATGGATTGGACCGAGTATAAAGATTCAAAATTGATAATCTATATGCATTATTAGTTTTGTTAGACATATTTTTTGATATTTACAAGTCTGTTTTGCAATTATTAATAAATAATAATTTATTCTAATTTCGGTTTAAATTACTGATCCTTCTTCCCAACCATTTCTTTGATTTTTTCAAAACATTATCCCCATGGCTACATATAACTTTGTTGATGAGTTACATGCATCGAGACGAGATTGGAAAATCCGTGTCAAAGTTTTGAAAAGATGAAATAAACCTGATTGACAAGGCTTACCAGGGATGAATTTCATTTTAGTCGACGAAAATGTAAGTATTATCTAATATGAATATATAACTGTTTTGTCTATATTAATTGTTTGTTTGATCTCTTTTCAAAATTCATTGTATATAGGATTGCAGAATTAATGCTTCATGTGGTAACCTCGCCTTTCCATATTTTTACCGTGTTGGGACTGAAGGACCGTGGTTTGAATTGTATAAATTCGGCTTGATATCATTTGAATGGAAGATTGAGAAAATGACAACGAGACACAATTATCATATCGTTCTCACTACTGAGACAGAAGTCTCAAGCCTACGACCATTGACAATGGATCCCTTTATGAAATTTGTCCCTTTTAGTGAGATATACAAAGTTTCTTACGCTCAGTTGTATCATGTTGGTAAAATTAACTTATAATATTCGTTTTAGTGTTTTCATCTATAAATTTGTACATATGTAGAAAAAAAAATATATGAAGTTCATTTATGATAAAATTTTCTCTCATAATTGATTTGTAGAACTCATTGGTGTGATGGAAAATGTTAGCAACATTGAAACAGAAAATAACTCTGATGGAGAGATTGTTCAGAAAATAACTTTCACCATCACAGATCTCGAGTAAGTTATATTTTCTCTCACGATCACTATGTCTTGGTAACAAAGTTTGTAATTTAAATTGTTTAAATCAAAGGGATGTGAAGTTGAAATGTATCGCATACGGAGAATGTGCCGCTGATATCGAAGAAATAACCAAAGAATTCACTGGTCCTTTTGCGGTTTCTGTTTTAACCGATTGGAGTGTAAATAAAAAAGAAGATATGGATAATCAAGCATATGTCATTATTATTTTCATTTTGTCCCATATATGTTTTCTATTGCATGTATATTTCCTATAAATCATTTTATGCGTGTAGATGAAATAACTATCCATTCACATGAAGCAATTGGTTTTTCCTGTCTTCTCCTTGATCCTAACACTGATGATGCCCTGATTTTTAAGAGAAAGTAAGTAATGTGAAAATGATAATTGGAGAATTTTGTATATACAACAACCTTACAATAAGTATATGTCTCTTATACTTCCAGGATTCGGGAGAGGTGGAGCACATTTTAGACACAAGTCGGAACAAGGATAAAAAAGCACTCCTAAACCAAATATATATAACAATACTTAATGGAGTAGTGTTCTCTTAATTTCTTTGTATAAATATTTATATAACTTAAAGCTTGCGTGTTGGATCTTATTATTTCTTTTGATATTTCTTTTAATTATATTTTTCATCTACAATTTAATTATTCTTTATTATTATTACTAATTATATTTGGTAGTTGTTTATTATAATATTACTTAATAGGTACATACGATTTTAAATAATCTAATATATGATTGATATTAATCGATTTAAAATAATAATAATAGATATTTAGTATTTTTATGATTTATGTTTATACAATATTTTAGTCTCAATTATTGAATATAAAAATGTGATGATTATATTACAAGAATTTCTAAAATCAAATTATAATAAGATTTGTATGTTGATTGTGTCCGCGCGCCGCGGACAGATACCTAGTTATGGTGGTAAATATATTCTTAGCTTCTAGTTTTGCCTGCTGCATGGTGATTTTTAAGAGAAATCAACGTCTCGCCTGTTTCAGACAAAGAACTCTCATCTTTCTCTACGTATGTATAATTTGTCTAATTAGTTAACTGAATGTTATGCATGTAAACAAAGTGTAAATCGATGTGTATATATAACTGTGTATTTGATTACAAGAAAAACAAAATTATTCAGTGTACATATTATTATACTAGGAAAACTGGATTTTTCAGGCTCCGACTTTTGGAAAATGTTAAATCGATACATAAACTTATGTACGGTGCTTTAACATACTCAATCTATATTAATATGTAAAATTCATCCTTAATCTTTGTTTTGTGCGTAAAACAATTATTAACCAGACGCTGTTAAGTGCTCTGTCAAATCTTGTCTACGTGTTGTCCACGTAAGAAATGACATCGTTTTGGGCTTCTTCGGTTTCAGAAAAAAAATATGAAACTATGTTTTTTGGATAATTGGAAAATTGATTTAAAAGGTTGTCGTTTGCTAAATATAAATAGATAAAAAATCTAACTTGAAAAAATGCTAAAGTCGCGAGCAAGTTTCTCAACAAGTGTTGTAAGTCCAAAATCCGATATCTAGACACATGCAAAGATAAGACCAACTTAAGTGTCCTGTATAAGATGTTGGGAATCAATCCAAAGTTCCACATCGGAAGTTTAGACTAATATGGTCTAGTATATAAGTAATGTCTAACTCCAATTAGTATGAGGCCTTTTGGGAAGGAGCCCAAAACCAAATCTGTGCGGGCTTTACCAGTTGGGCCCAAAGTGGACAATATCATACTAATTGGGGAGTTGGACATGAGCTTAGAAAAGCCCAATAAATGGACCTGGAGAAGTGAGATTGGACTGAATGTTCGGTGTGGGAGAGAAACCCTCAAGGTGACCTTGCGATTAAGAAGTACAAGATGATACTAAGTATCGCTGTAGGTTGGAGATCAAGAGTTATAGGATCTTTGGCTTGAGAGGGAGATTGTTGGGGATCAATCCAAAGTCCCACATCGGAAGTTTAGACCAATATGGTCTAGTATATAAGTAATGTCTAACTCCAATTAGTATGAGGCCTTTTGAGAAGGAGCCCAAAACCAAATCCGTGCGGGCTTTACCAGTTGGGCCCAAAGCGGACAATATCATACTAATTGGGGAGTTGGACATGAGCTTAGAAAAGCCCAATATAAGAATCATAACATGTAATAGGTTTCATAAGTTGAGGGGACTCAGACCTTAGCCCTGAATGCCTCATCGAGCAAAATATTGCTCATCTTGATATCTGTATGAACATAATGGGGTTTAGTATGTTCATGAATATATTCTAACCACCTTGATGCGTCAAGTGCAATCTGATTCTTCATTATCCAAGACAGTGGGGTACTGCCTTCAAGATGATCTCAGACAGATACATACAAGTATGCACATCACAAGAAACACAAGCACGACTCCAAGACCACCAACAATCCATATATAAGGCACATGACAACTCTTGGCAGTGTGATTCACCTGATCAGCTTTTCCAAAACTGGAAAACACATATAAAAATGTGAGCTTCACACTAAAAATAGAAACTTGAGATTCAGATTAAGAACAAAAAGACAACATAAATCAAAACCTGAGATATTGTAGGCGTAGGAGAAGGTGCAGGAGGGTTTATCTTCTTCGTCTCATAAGGCTCTCCAGGTACTTGACAACAACAAAACCAAGACATCAAATTGTTATCTTAAACCCCTAATTTCTCAAAATTGAAGATTCTTTACCGGAATCAAGCGGACTGTAATTAACATCTCCGGTTGAGATATTATCAAGATTCGAGATTCTCCATACTAACACCAAATCGACTCGAGAGCGATTGAACACTGTCTCCATAGATGGCCACATAGCTCATAAAGTAGTTCCAGAGACCACTCGAGCATCCACGGAGACGCTGCACAGATACCACCGAGACGTGACGAGCTTCTCTAGTATTCTTCGGTGGAAACGCAAGACCAAAATAAGCAGAAACCACAGCATCGTAGACGTAGCCACGATTTTGTCTGATTGTGAATGTCGTTTTTGTTACGTATTGATGAGGTGTCGTGCTGATGACAAGAACAATTCTTCCTCACATAGATGTAACCGTTGGCGTCTCCGGCGACATCTGCGGTTATGACAGCTGGTAATGCGTCGAACATGCTTTAACTACGGAAAACGAAATCATTTTGTTTTTTTTTTTAAAACTGAGAAAATCCAATACAACGCCGTCCTTATGTGGCATACACGTTGGCCTGGTTCAAAGAAAAGTTAACAGCGTTTACTAAGAAGTTGGTTTGTACCATAAAAAAGAAGATTAAGAATGAATTATAGATTGAGTATGTTAAAGCACCGTACATAATTTTAAGTATATATTTAACATTTTCTGAAAGTTCCAGCTTGAAAAAGCCAATTTTGCTATTATACTACAGTAAAGTGATAGTTAATTCGACCAGGACGGGTTGATGTTTTTAAACCGGCAAGAAAATGGAAGCGAAACAGATACGGATAATTTTTGATTCGGTTAGTTAAAAAACCAGTATTAGGTTTAAATCATAAACCCAAAACAAGGAGTCATAAACCGTTTTTCTCTCAGTCTTTTCTTCAAACTTGCCGGGAAAACCAAATTATCTCTCCGACAGCCTCAATTCTCAACCCATCTTTCAAATTTGCTTAATTTTCTCTGGAGACGAAAAGGGAATCTCCCGGAGTTCCCCAATTGAGAAACCCTAATTCCCAAATTCCATGATCTGTAGATGGATTGCATTCAATTCGAGAAAAGTGTCCCGTGTACTCTCTCCTTTCTCTTCCCTCTTACTCACTAAATCCTCCTTCTCCGTCACGAAGCTCGACGATGAGCCGCTTTCCCCTACCAATTCCACGTCCCATCACGAAGATTACTTCTATCAGGAGATTCTATTTACGATGAAGAAGAAAGGGTTCCGAGAGTTTCTCCACGGGCATCACTTTCGAGGCTTGGTTTCGGATTTGAGGCAGTTTCATGTCGAAGAGATCATGGATGAATTGATTTCTGAAAGCCCAGATCTTTCTGTTTGGTTTTTCAAAGAGCTGAAAGATGTTTATGGGTTTTGCCATTCGAGTTTGTCCACATTGTTGGTTGCACATATTTTAGCTGGTCAAAGACGCTTCAAAGAGCTTCAAGTGATTCTAGAACAAATGCTCCAAGAAGAAGGCAAGTCCACTCTTTTTGTATTGCTTTCAATTTCGGTGGGAAGTATATAGAGAAAATCGTTATGATATTCAATGTTACTGCAAGCATAGAGCTTTGGCTGAAGTTGGTGCGGATTAATAGAGAAAAATAAAGGAGCTTTTATAGTTTTTTTTAATGTAGAAATTTTCTCACCCTGAACTTGAGTGTGTCGACACAAGCATACAACACTATTTTGTATAAATTCAGAGAAACAGATAAGATGTGGGATGTGTACAATAATATTGATGCTAAGAACGAGTACACATACTCAACAGTTGTAGATGGGTTGTGTAGGCAACAAAAGCTAAAAGATGCAGCTTTTTTCCTCCAAACTTCAGAGTGGAAGGATAGTGGCCCTTTGATAACTCCGGATTTTAACCCTTTTTATGGATCCTTTTAATGTCTTTAACAGGTGTTTTTACTCTATTTTCAAAGGTTTTCAAAGGATTTCTATATTTTTAGATTTTAAAAGACTTTTCAGGTAATTTGGGATAAAGAGCATAAATTGGAATAAAAAACTATTTTGGATAAATGCAGACCGTCAGAATTCTCATGGAGAGACGAAGACCTTTTCACCGTCTGATCACCCTCAAAATTGGACAACTTATAGAAGAATCAATCAGCTTTCAAATTCACTTGGTTTGGAGACATTCCAACGGTTGAATCTCAAGATATTCCATTTGCCCTGGAGATACTCGAAGACGACCAGCAAGTCACGCGACCACGGCCACCAGCCTATTTCCCACGGTCACAAGCTTCCCGACCGCGGCCAACCACCTATTTCCCACAGTCACGTTACTCCTGACCGCGGCCGGCCAATTCTGATTAAAAGCCCATATTTCTGAAGCACAAAATCATTTCTCAGACTAAATTCTGGAACCCTAGAGACCATGGAGTACTGAAGACTATAAATACTTGTCATTTAGGTCGTTTTTAGAGAGAACCTTCATACTTTTACAGAAACCCTTTTCCTTTAGCCGTTTTATGCGATTTTTAGAGAAGATTGTTCAACTCTGAGTTCTTCAATAGAGAAGCTTTCTTTCATCTCTTTTCTTTACTGTTTTTGATTATTTTTATTAAAACCAATAATGATGTCGACCTCAGCCATGTCTGAGTAGATCCCGAGTTGGGCTTAGGGTTCCCGAAAGGGGCTCTCATAATCGATTAAAACATCTAGGTTTATAGATCTGGGATTTTAAATTTTTTTCTTTGTTTATTCTCGTTCTTATTGCATGTATGCTTGATTGATCACCTAGTATCTGATCTAGATAGTTAGTGTTGCGAAAGTTTTCATTAAGTATCAGACATAAAATGAAACAGGCGATCTCCGTAGGAGTGGAAACCTACCTGCGGCGAGATCGTGAGTACTGGCGAGTCTTGTGCAGCTCTTGCGTTCTCTCCCTTCCAGGGCCAGAGTGGAAACCTACTGGTCAGGGTTGCGAGAAACAGTTGGTTATGATCACGACAGTGACGTAGTCATACTGCCGTACTCTAGCTCTAGAACCCTATATTTCGATATCCGTCAATCCCAATCTATAATCCCTAGTGTTAAAACCGATTATGATCCCTGTAGAGTTCCCAAAAGCTCAGCGTTTTTAGCCATAGTTTACAAACCAATCGATTTTTACTTGCTTATTAAGATCTGCATTTCATTTGCTTTAGTTGGATATTTTGCTTGCTTCATTTGCTCTCCATTCGATTTTTCTACTTGCTCTTTAGGATAGATTTATTTGCTTTCTTTTGTTTTAGTTTAATCCATGACAAACAACCAACCTCTAAAACCAATCTAGTCTAGACATAAAGTTAGAAACGGTAGAAGAATACCAGGCACACAAATCTCTGTGGATTCGATTCCTAAATATTACAACTGATTAGCTGTGCACTTGCGGTTTTCATTTGTTTTTATTAAGGGTAAAACTTGTTCCTTCACGCAGATGACACGCATCAAGTTTTTGGCGCCGTTGTCGGGGATTTGTTTCGCTGCCTTTGCTATTTTTCTTGTTCTAATTTCTGTTCTAGACACCTGATCTCTAGTTCTTTCTTAAAATTTTCTGAATTATCTTTCCCTTTTTTTTCTCTGAATTGCATGAATACCAGGCACAGATCTGTAGAAAACATTCCAATTCTAGACGAGATAGACAAACACGAAAGAGAACTTCGAAGACTTAGATGAACGCAAGGAATGGTCAACGACGACCAGCCTGGAGATCCTGTTAACCGAGCTTTAAATATGGACCAAGATGGGTCCAAACATGGAGAAAATGAAGAGAACGATCACAGAGAAGGTGATCATGCTCGACAAGATGGAGAAGAAGATGAGGTTCCTCCAAGAAACCATCAAAACCGCAAGAGAGAAGAACGCGAAGACCGTGATGCACCTATCAATGCAGCCGATGGTGACCACCAGGGGATGCAGCAGAATGGACGCGTTAACCGCCCTGTTCAGCCAGCAAATCAACAACAAAGACAGGCCAGGAACCATCGCATGGCTGATTTCGATGCACCTACTCAAAATTTTCAGAACCGATCCGCATTTTAAGTACCATTTCCGAACGGAATGAGTTTGAAGTCAAGCCTCAAATCATCTCATTGGTGAAACAAAACCAATTCTATGGAGTTCCTTTTGAACATCCAATGGACCATATCGAGCTCTTTGAAGAAATCTGCAGCATGATGAGAACAAACCAAGTTCCAGCAGACTATTTAAATTGTAAGTTGTTCCTTTTTTCATTAGCAGACAAAGCTCACCGTTGGTTGAAATATTTGCCTGCAGGATCGATTACTAATTGGGAAGAATGTAAAACTGCTTTCCTGAACAACTTATATACTAAATCAAGGTTGAACTTGTTGAGAACCAAGATCTCAAGTTTTCAGCAAAGACCGACTAAACCTTTCTATGAAGCCTGAAAACGTTTTAAGGAGTATGAACGTGATTGCCCTCACCATGGATTTTCTGGATCAAGCCTGCTGAGCACATTTTACCGAGGTTTGCAACCAAAATACAAACTTTCGCTTGATACAATCAGCAATGGAGATTTTGGACAAAAGACGATAGCAAAAGGAAGAGCCCTCATCGAGAATTTGGCTCAAGCCAATAGCAATGATTGTCCTGAATACGATCGCTCGACAAAGCAAACCGGAGCAGATAACAAGGAGATAACCGAGTTGAAGAACATGATGAGCCAGCTTTTGAAAAGCAACAATCGCCCAATCCATGCTTGTGAGACCAACAATGGCGCAGAAGACGAAGGACCTAGTGATATCGATCACACTAATCCAGCCTTTCAAGAAGAAGAAGTGAACTATGTAGGGGCACAAGCACCATATCCAAATCGCTTCAACAATGGCTTCAACAACAACTTCCGGAATCCAAACTACAACAATCTCTCTTACCGCAATCCAAATGTGGATAATCCTCAAGATCAGTACTACCCTCCACAGCAAAAATCCTTCCAAAACAAGTTCTAAGGTGGAAATTTCGGAGGGACAGGAGCTTATCAACCGCGATAGCCATATAACTATCAAGGTAATGGTTTTAACAATCAATTTGTACAACAGCAAGGAGTCACAACGAACCAGCTAGCCTCGCAAATCAGAAGACTTGAACAGTCCATCCAACAGCTTGTTATGACAAACGAAAAAGCATCTAAAGACATGAATGTGAAGGTTGACTGCATGTACAATGACCTGAATGGGAAGTTTGAAGCTTTTTCTTCGCACGTCAA